TCACAGAGATTCAAGTTGATCTCTACCGTATGATTATTCCAACTCTGCAAATCCAATGCTGCAATAATTGTAGGTTAAAGGCAGCGGCTCGGCAGAATAGACCTACCTTAGATTTTGACACAGATGGATAGGAGGCCCTCCAAGTGAACCAAAAGAGCAACTCCGGGCAAATGTGAATTCTGCAAGCCAGGAGGGCGGCCCAAACGTCGCTCCCCTTCCTCTTTCCGCTCCCCTAACACCTCGTTCGGACGAGTATTCTCCGCTAGATGGCGCGGGACCCCCAACCGCTTTCCCGCATTGTGCATACTATACAAAGCCAAAATTACAGGCAGCAGGGTCTTCGTGCCAGGGCCTCCCGACTCTCCTTTAAAAAATTCTCGTCCGAGCTGCCTTTTGGAAATTGTAAAAAAAAGGCTCCGAAAAAGGCTTTTTCACCCCTCTTAAAGCTCAGATTCGGGATCTACGGGTCGAGAAGGCTCAAAGCATGCAAAAAGATGGAAGTGCAAAATCTGCCGAGCCGCTGCCTTCAACTGACACATCAAAAATACCCTTTGATGCCTGAAGTTTCGGGCAATTTTGAACGAGTTGAGTTCTAGACAAAGGCTTGAAGTTTCAAGTGTTCATGTGCTGATAATCAACTTCTCAAACATCTATGGAAAGCGCACCAACCGTCATCATTACTTTTCAGGTACTGCATCAACCACTAATCCTAACGTCACACACGCAACTTATCCGCTCATTGTGGTTACATAGAACAAAGGTCGGCCCGCAAACCGCTTCGTGTCAAATATCTCACAGATAAACATTGTAAATCAATTCATCATAGATGGTATTCGTATCTTATTCCATAAGTGCATAAAATATATGAAGTACTTCTAGAAGAGTCGAAAATCATGTACCTGTGTCAAAAATATGTTTCTAGTTTCATCAGAGAATGGATAGAGGACATATGTCACCGAAAGTGGGAAGGTCCCGGGCGGACAACGCAGTAGACTCAGCCTGTGCATGTGTTGGAGTGTGTACTTGTCCCAGTTGTCCGGCGGGACCTCAGTTTCGGCGACAGATAGTCCCCCACACCCAGAAAATTCGGCGCTATTCCACGTTAGTTGACCCAAAAATTCAAAACCGTAAATTTCGCCAAAACTTCGTCTAGAGAGGTTATTTGGTATGCTGAACACGAATATGACGTTTATTTCGTGCGAAGCGCCATTCGGTGGAGTCACGGTAGGATCACGGTAGGGGGTCAAAATCACGGATTTGCTCGAAACTTCATCTAGAGCGGTTATTCGGCACGCTGATGCTGAATATCACACTGGTTTTGTACCGCAGCGTCATTTTCTCCGGTTACGGTATACGGTAGGGGTCAAAATCCGCTGTAACTTCGCACAGAGGGCTTATTCGACATGCTGATTAATGTCACACTTTTCCAGCACGAAAACCTCCCCCTGCACGGTTACGGTAGGTTTACGGTAGGGTCAAAATCACAAATCGGCAAATGTGTCTTTCCCCTCTGCTTTGCTTAGGCAAAAGCCGCAGCGGAGGTGGTCATGTGTGCAAAGCTTCACGATCGTCCGAATCGCCGTACATCCGTTTCAGGCAGAACTATGTTTTACACTCGTTACCGTGTAGCTACCGTAACCCGAGAAAATGACGCTATGGTTCAAAACCAATGTGATATTTGGCATCAGCGGGCCGAATAACCCCTCTGGGCCAAGTTTCGGGCAAATTCGTGATTTTGATCCCCTACCGTAATCCTACCGTAACTCCACCGTATAGCGCTGTCGCACGAAATAAACATCATATTCGTGTTCAGTATACCAAATAACCCTCCTAGACGAAGTTTTAGCGAAATTAACGATTTTCATTTTTTGGGTCAACTAATGTGGATTAGTACCGAAAATATTATTAATCTAAGTTATCAATCTGATCCGAATATAAACGCTTCTACTATGTGTCCTTAATCATGGTGAAATAACAATCGTAATTTTTATTTCAAACCTATTGGTAATCAAATGAGGTCTGCTATTTGTGTCAATGAAAGCATGACCATGCATAAACGAAAATAGAAGGTATACAGTGAAAAGCATATGGCAGCATTTTTAAATCCTAAATTGTCATTGGAAACGTTGGAAATGTCATCGTTTTTTCTGCACTTGCAAAGACGAAAAATAAGAACTTAAGGTAACTTTCAAACCAGTCGGATATTTTGTTGAGATGACGATAGACCTGATAGTTAATTCAATATGCAAATTACGTTAGAGAGTAATGACATCACTGTCGCTTTAAGGACCACAGTGAGTTTCAGCAAACTTACAAGCAATGATCAGTGGAGCTTTTGATTTTATGTCACTTCTGACTGCATGCTTTTTGATTGCAATCTCCATAGGCTATCAACAATTATTTCAAAGATTGTTGGCTTCCCTCTTTTCAAAAAAATATTAGGATGGCACATAAGTTTTGCAAAAAAATTTGTAACTTTTCTCTTTTTGACCGTGAAGCATTTAATTTTCCGCATGACGTAAATTAGGTAGTAGGCTACAAATATGCTCATGCAATTTGATTCTTCGTAGCAAAGTGGTGAAAATTTACGCATCTTTCTAAAGCTGGTCGAGTTCGAGATTTTAAGGCTTTAAAAATATTAATGACGCCGTTCTCAGTCTGGATCAAATATATCAAGAAGAAACTTTGTCCAGATTGTTGATAGAGGAATCCCTAACGATCTTTGCAGTTTCGCATGACTCTTTGATTCAAACTGAGAACGTTATTTTTATTCCTCGAACCCTTAAAATATTGAATTTGACCAGCTTTCGAAAAATGCTTGAATTGTCTCCGCTTTGCCGCCAAAAATCGAACCGCATGAAATCTGCAAAAATTTCATGCCCAAAAATGAATGCGTCACGGTGAAAAAGAGGAAAGTTACGAAATTAGTTGCAAAACTTATGTACCAACCTAACACATGATACAATGTGACAGCTTTGATTATACGCAATGTGGTGCTCACAGATAAAGTAGGTGTTGAGAAATGGGAACCTCTTCTAACTTCACCTTCGAGCTTTTTTAGCGATGCATTCTTATGAACGCGGGCATCTGTTTTCCTACATTAACGGATGACTAGCTTGGCATAGGAGTTTTCGTAGCCAAAAACAGATGTAAGCACAACAAATTCTTTGAAAACTCCAAAATATTTTACAGCTTCTATTTTCATAACTGGAATACGATCCACAGTTTTTTTTTTCTGAGTTTTCACGGCTGAGAAAGTACAGCCTCTTGAGCTTTGCGTTCAATTACCTTCCAACACCATTAGTCACATATGATGTGACCTCTCCATTTACCTCGTCTCCTTCGAAAACCCGCAAATTCTAGGTCAACCGTTTGTTCTTTACAATGCTTTGGTTAGTCTTCCGCAAAAACTTTTCACCTTATCGTCTAAAAAGTATTCAGAAGAGTCCAAGCCCCACCGAGACAATACATGAAGAAGCAACTGGCCCAGTTGCGTAATCTCACAACGGAAGCTTTTTTTTCTGGGAACATGGACATGCAAAGTGGCCCATTAACATGGGCTTGTGATGATTTGCTACCAAACAGATCTGATTTATAGCATCAATTATGACACTTAGCTTGAATGAGAGCGGTCACAGTTAGGTACATCATCACTCCCCTTTGATGCTTGAAAGACAATTTTTTAAAGTGGAGCAGCAGCATTGTTCACGTAGAACAAAGTGCTAATAAATGTTAACTTAGAGCGTCATTGTGTGAAAAATCTCTTCGTGCTGGGCTTCAAATTTTTCTCTCAAAGGTTTTTTATTTTGTCAAGGAAATCGTGGTCCCATGCAGTGTTCTCCTTTCGTGCTGACAGCTAACAATGTTTTAGGAGATCAGTAGCCATATTAGTTCAACTATTGCTTATTTTTGATTTCGTAGCCGATTACTACTTGTTGCTAATGAGCTGTAATTGATTTTCGTCATTATGTAGTTCAGAATTTGAGCATAGCACCAGTATAAATTAATTTTAATTAGTACAACAAAAAAGATAATTTCGTGCCAGTACAAATTATCCAACAAAGTCGCTGATTTTGTCTTTGCCAATGAACGAATAGCTATGAAACAAATTGCCATTCTACATACACTGACTTTAAAAGTTTATTTCTAGCAAAGCAAATCTGAAATTTGTTTTTTTGCTGCGAAAAACAAATTCACAACAGAACTTCCTTGTTCTATCAAACACTTATGGTCAAAAAGCTACTAACTACAGTCAGAGCATTTTCTATAGTGTAATATTTTGGGAGATTCTCTATTTATTCCGTTCTACGAATAGTTTAATATTCTTTGCTTTCTTTAGGATTCCATTATCCATAATATGGTATAAATGCAATATTTGCTACATGAGTAACTTTAATGATGTTTCGCTGATATTCTTCTCTGCCCCAGAACATTCAGCGCATTTGTTGATTTTAAAGGCACAAAAATTTCGTCCTTGTTATTTTATCCCCTTGCAATTTTAGTATTGAAGGGGTTGATAATAAGGTATTTATTGAGGAGGACATCATTTTCAAATATATGGTATCCGATTATGTGACTCAAACTCGTTGTTCTTTGTGTATTTTGCTTCCCAGAAATGTTGCAAAATAACGCCATTGAGCGCAGAGTACACTCCATAACCCCAGATTTAATACGAAAATTTTCGCATCCGCATAAATTGACCGCTTCGATGACGCATGAATGCGAACGCGAAAATTGAGAGGGCAAAAAATAAAGCACATTCAGAGTGAACCTTGGATTTTTCGATTTTCCTCTGGTAACCTCAACTTCTTGCTAGTCTGCACAGCTATGAATCATATGGTCGAATGCGGAAACAAGCTGTGATATGACTGGTACAATGGGGGGTGATAAAAATCAGAACATTCATTGGTCTGTATATGCACTGCGCCGCCCATTCGAACCGGATCTATAGCATTAGTAGGCTGCGTATAAAAGGCAGATACTTTTTTGAAGCATCATTACCAACCATGCGTCTGATACTGATCTTCCTGACCGTTGCGCTGACATTCGTACGTTTAAGGCTCTAAGTTTTTTCTAAGACTTTCTGATAATCAACAATTCTTTTTACAATCGAAACGAAAGATGACAATGTTATAAACACTTTGTAGGAATGTTTGCTTTTTTGCCTCAAATTAGGTGCAAAAAAGATAGGTTACGGAGTGTCATCTGCAAAAGAGTTAGGTTTGGGACTACTACGACGTTCCGTTAGCGGCTGATGAATTTTTGAGGATTTCCAAAACTCATTCCCGAAACCAACAAGTTCTTTGAGAAGATTGGTTTCTGATGATCAGCAATTTTCTCCGACTTTCGAGATGTCCTGGCGCTAGCCTAGCAGTTCGCGTTGATTGATGTTCCACTATCGTGTCATTCAGTATGTATACAATGAATATGCAGGTTATCCTGAAATAATTTGAAAATAATAATCTAAAATAATGGGTTTTGAATTTTGATAATTTTGAAGCTTCCTTGGGAACTACTGACGAGGGTCACCAAGGAAGTTGCACTACTTTATAGTTCTAAGCCACGAAACCGGATAGTGTAGAAAATGAACAAAAAGGAATTGAATTTCCTGTGTTTTGCTAACTAGTATCTATCACCTTCTTCCTGATAAAAAACACAAAATTTTTTGTCAATGTATGATATTTGATGCTTAATCAGCTACTTACCAACTTTCTTATGTGAAGAGCTGTGCTGGCCTTAAAACACCAATTTGTAGAGCTAGATCAAGCTTGGGTCCGTAGTATAAAGCAGATAATCTAACTCTCTTCGTTATTGCAAGATTACGGTAGGAACTTTGAAGAGGGGTATTAGTCATAGAAGGCTATATTTTGCTTCAAAAAAAAACAAGCCGAGCAGTATATAAACTCTTCTAGTCATATGCGCTGCATCTATATACGAATAATGTTCATGAGTTATGCGAGATATACTGTAACAGCTGCCTTCTAGATTTCTATGAAATTGCGGTTAGTTGGAAATCCTCAAATACAAAGAGTCATGCAATATAGGAAGTCTAGCACACAAATTTGATTTCTGAAAATTCTTCTAGACGAACCCTTAATAAAAGTAGCGCTAAATGCTAGAATATTACCGTAATCCTACATCAATGAGAAATGATCAGTGATTTGCCCTACTGCGAACCTAATTTGAAGCCTGCTCTACAGTATGATGTTTAAATGGTCACGACACCTCTTTATACAAGAGAACTATTAAAGAGCAAAGGTTAAATATATTATTTTGGGACACTTGAATAATTTCGCTATAGCTGTGAGCAAGACTCCTAGCCCGTCCACCCTCCCCCCCCCCCCCCTCAATTTCCCGCCCCTACCTTCATCCTTATTCGCCACCTCATGATGTTTCGTGATTGTTTAACCTTGATTTCGCAACAACCAGAATTCTAGTTGTGCGTGATTGAATTTTGCAATTTTTGCACCAAAAAGTGGATTTAAGCAAAACTGCCAAGCTCATAGTACTGAGTCAAACGTGCACCCTCATCCGCTTCCAAAATGAATAAGCTACTTTATTTATAGCCACACTACATCAGTCACACAAGTTTCGTTGAATTTCGAACCACTATTTATTATTTTATTAAAAGTTTCACCACACAAAAGACAGAAATGTTTTGAAAAGAGACAGTTTTAGGTCGCTGGTAATGTGGTGAAAAGAGCAGTGTCTCTTTCAAGCGATTTGAGTAGAGGTGAAATAGTTTCTTTACATTTTGTGCTTCAACCCAGTCTTATATATTTTGATTTCGCAGTTCGCCGAGACGTGGCAATTACAAAAATAGACGGCTCCTCAGAAAGTGCTGAAGAAGCGTTTGGAGACGAAAGAGCAAAACGAGCGGCAGAATCTGAGGATGACGGCGGATCCGCAGAAAGCGGAGAAGGCGAGGGTTTGAGGGACAAGAGAGCTGCATCCGATTCTGCTGAAAGTGCCGAAAGCGCTGAAAGCACTGAAGGTCTTGTGGGTGCGAGAGCGAAACGAGCTGCTTCCTCCGAAGAAGGTGGTGATGAAAGTGCCGAAGGAATAACTAAGGTCAAACGAGCCGCTGTCGATTCGGCTGATAGTGGAGATATTTCGGCCGGAAGCGCTGAGTTGCACGCTGTCGCGAGAGTCAAGCGAGCTGACGAATCTGCAGAAAGTGGGGAGAAAACAGAAAGTGGTGAAGAAATCTTTGGCCATGAGGAGAAAAAGTAGAGCAAGTTAGATGAAGTGATATCGCAGCGTAATGGGTTTGTCGACTTAACTTCATGACCATGAATTATAATCAGCTCTTTTATTTGTTGCAAATAAATCATCAGTTATTCTTATATATTTGTGAACTGCAGCACAATATTCTTGATTAGGTACACTGTCATTTGTGTACGTATCGAGTAAAATAAAAATCTGAAAAAAACCTTTTTTGATCTATTCGGAAGCACCATGTAGCGGTCCTCATATGGTACGTAATTTTTCAAGTCATTGTTGTGATCCAAAGAGATTGAGCTTAAGTGAAATATCAAAAAAATCAAAAAACTTAGCAGTAAATCGGTCAATAGCTGTAGTATGAAAAGAAAAAGACTTAGGTCCATTGTGTGCAAAATAAGGGCAGTGTGTTCTCCGAAAAAATACGGCCCAAAACCGACTTCTTACCATGTCGTGACTTTTGTTTTATCTCATAGTCAAAGTTGCAATTCAAAACTGGCTGAGGTGTGTACTTGCACGATCACATTTCAAGCGCTGAAGAACAAAAAAGTAGTGCTTTAAAGGTTTCCTTTTACATTTTTGGTTCACGTTTACTTGGGGTTCTAATCTACCTTAAAAGTTTCATGTTTTTCCAATGGTGATGGTCTATCTGCCGCAAAGCAATGGTTATTGCAGCATAACAATAATCGTGCCTCTGTTGGATTACTCTATAAAATTTTCATCGGAACTGAAAAATCCTAATCATACTGGTTTATTGGATTCGATAGACCAACAAAAATCATAAAGAGGAAATTATATGTCATCTGGTATCAATAGTAAAAGCAAATGTTCAAAAACCGCTGAATTATAAGCTGTTAAGAAAAATAACCAGTTGTTCTGCGACTAAAAAAGCTTTGAAAAAACCCAGCAAAAATTAATCTTAGTTCTGATTGTGGTCTCACAGTCTACTTTCACCTGAGAGAATTTCATTGAAATGGAAGTTCCATAAATGCGTATAATTTTTTGGTTGTTACTCTACATTTGAATTTTGTTTGATGGAAATCTCTAAAACGCTTGGATGAATAGGACATGTGTTTTACAAACAATGATATAAAGAAAGTTTGGAATTTCTGGAAACGTTTTCACATTTTTGGGCAGGACTTATACCGCTTTCTGATGCTAATCTTTTGAATATGATTCTTGGTTAAGAAAACTGTAACTAATAGGGATTCCCTCCCCCCCCCCCCCCCGCTCCTTCCCTCTCTCCGACATTAATGTTTTGTCTTTTGCAGAAAAATAATGTCGAGCTTTTGTTTCATAAAATGCAATGAGAAAGCACGTAGTATTTTGGAAGTTTTTCGATTTTTTTGTGTTTATAGATTGATGGACAAAAGAGCGCTCTCGTCAAGCTTAAACAGTGCGCGTGGTGGAATATTCTTATGCTGATGCCATAGTCATTGCGCTTTGCAAAGAAATGTTCCTCATCACTGTTCCTCAATATAAACCACCAAGTGTTTATAAAATGTCTTTTACAGACCCATATTTGGAAGCACTTTAGTACCAGCAAATGTTTTTGAAAATTTGTGACTCGAGGGCGTGATATGCTATCGAAGCATAGACAAGTGTAGTTTATCTACAAAAAACATCACTCAGCAATACCGTAGAACTTCATTTCACAGTTTACTATTCATAGTACTTTTAATGACCTTAATTGCCTGAATTTCCGAATAATTGCAATGAAGAACGATTTCGTTTGAAAAGAAGTGGACTGGAACGAAAATACTTTTTATGTGTGAAAATGGATCTGTGGGGTAGCACCGTACGGAAAATGCATCTTGATATTATGACAACGACTTGCGTCATGTTACCTGCTGCAATCAACTGGAAAGACGAAGAAAAAGTAAGTTTTCTACTCACTGTCCATTTTCTACTCCGTGTATCTCTTGTCTAGCGCATATTCAATTTCTAGCGCCAAGGCGAGTCGGGTTTTTTGAAATTGTCTACCTCAAGAGATCATACTACTTCCTTTAGAAATGGGTGGCCAGAAACGTTGTGGCCACGACAAGTCTACCTAGGTACGTAAACAGTGCACGTAAAGTTCTCAGAATTCCTCTTCAGAAAGGAAGGGTTCATCTAGCGATCGACCACCCCAACTAACAGATGGCCGGTATCACCGTTATGCCGCGCAGTTCGGTGAGTCGGTCGCGGCGTTCTACCATTGCTACCCTGTCGCTGCAGGACCACCACTCAGGCAAGCCGCCTCGGTTAAAGATAGCGCGCCGATATGGCTATTCTCTTACATTACCTTTGCTCGGGTCGCCCGTATCATTGATTGGTGGGATTTTTGTGAAATCGACGTACGCCTGCGTCCCGCGCCTTGCGCAAGTGCATGGATTGATCGAATGCTTGGTGGACGCGCAAGGATAGAAGTTTAGACATTGAAAACTGGGAGTACATGGATGCGCAGTATGGGTAAAGCTGTGTCTGAAGTTGGTGGTTAGCATCTGCTGGCTCGGTGTCATCCACGTCGTCGCCACTGCCTTGGCGCTACCAGCCGACTGTGTGTCAGCTCGCTTGGAATTTGGAAAAGTGTCAGGAAGGGAGTGTGAGTGAGTCAGAGTTTCATGAGTAGACGTATGCGGATGAGCTCCGGCTCGCATCGTCGCGCCGATGCGAGCCGGAGCTCATCCGCATTTGCGGAAGTCCTTTGGGTTGGGAACTGTGGCGTACGGCAGCCGAAGCACTATCGGAATGGGCACAGGGCCCACCGAGCTGCAAAAAGATACATGTAATCGTCAATTGGCTTTATGTCATGAAAACCCAATTTGTATATAATTTCGACCGCTATGATCCGCAGTTTAACAACATGTGGTTTCTGCAAGCCCTCATCTCACTCGTAAAGAAATGGGAGATATTTTTACAAATTTCTTCAACGAGTTTTATACGCATAAAAGCTTCGACGTGACATTTTTGTAAATCAGTGCCTCCGCTCAGCATGGAAAGTGATGTCTCCGCTTGATCTAATTTGTATACTGTAGATCCTACAGCGTCACGCTTTGGCATCTTGAGGAGGCCAAGCGAATGATTCAGGTCCTGCGCAAGAGAGCTTTCCTGAAGACTTTTGTTTTACAAAGGAAGGATGTTTGGTCGAAGTGGCCACATAATCGATAATCCATAAAAAGTTCCGTTTTGTTTTGTAGCTAATTCTTATTATATGAGTTTATCCAGCTCCTTGCGTAATCTTCATGGTCCTCATCTATAACGCAACCTCAAAATGTGTCTTCATTCTTTCAACATATTGCTTACGATGGTGAGTAATGCTACGATAGTCAGAGACAGAGCAGAAGATGAGCAAGGTAAATCATTGCAGAATTTCCAACCAGTCATGCGAAGTGGAATCCGTTGGTAGTCACAGAACGCCGATTTGGTTGACGAAGATGCGCAAGATGAGTCGACGATGGAAGACTGACAATTTAAGCTCTTTGCAACCGCTCTGAAAAAAAAAACAAGATGACAACTTCTATAATACAGTCATCCTACAATTCAAAAAGCAATAGAGAGGTTTTTAGGCGGGGAAAGGGAGTGAATTGTTCAGTGTGAGCATGCCTTTGATTGTGAAATTGATGGTGGAAAAAGATAAAGATGTCTTACCCGCAACTGTCCCATTTGACAGCATTGCAATCCGCAAATTCTTCATCCATACTGCTCATAGAAATCCTTTCCATACATTGGGCATATTGAATGACTAAATTTGAAATAGCATTTTATTTACACTGTCATGCGTTCTAGTCATACATGGAAGGCCTTCGCGACAAAAGAACTCAAGCATAGATGTTTGACGCAAGTAATAGTATGCATCATCCATAGACGCTGTGATGTTAACCAAGCAGTTGAAGTCTACCAATTCTTTGTATCGTCCTCTCAGACAGACATCTAACCGTCGAAAGTTTCTACAAAAAATTTCTTGCTTGCTTTTCTGAAGGGCATCAATAATACCCACTAACTTGCAAATATTCGGACTATCAAGCATAACTTGTGTGACAAATGCGCTCTGCTTAGGTGGTAACTTATCGTCAGTCATGTTGAATCCATATGTTACAGTGAAGTTTGAGAAGCATTTTAGAATAGTCTGAAAGATTTCATCACGTGTTAGGATACAGAAATTTCCGAGGAAGATAAAAAAGCAATTTTTAACTTACGACTTTTATCTCGAAAGAAGCCAATTTGTGAATGTTTTTATTGAGAAAATAGAAGAGCAATCAATTTTTAATTCTCTCTTTTTGCGAGAGAGTTAGGAAAACCTAAAAATCTTTTTAAAAAAATTCCAAGAATAGAAAGGGAACGAAGTAGAGCCCAGGACAATATTTCATTTTTCTTTATGTTGATCTTGCACCACACTAGCAATCTTATGTGATCGTTTTCATTTATTTACGTACATATTTTTTTTTATTTTACTCATTTGATCATACATATATTAGAGATAGACGGAAGAAGGTAAGAAAGAAAAGAAAACCACAAGAACATCTGTCACGAAATTAGCATTATTTATACATGAAGAATGACTTGTTTGTTTTCATTTTAGGAGTCCATAGATATTCTGAGAGCGCTCAAGCTGGAGAAGATGATGATTGGCAGTAAAATGCTCCGCATTTGCAGCGGGTATATGGAAGAATAACTCAAAAGCATAATCTTGAATCAAGAACTCACATCATACTCTGTCTCAGTTGGTGCGTACTGCGATTGGGATTTGGATGATACCAGACCAGATCTTGCATCCGTGTTCGACCATTGACATTCGACAAGTAAACCAGCTCCAGGGAAGAAAAAGGTAAATCGGACTACCTTTCAATATGGCATGAAAAAATCACTCACTCAATAACTGATGAAGCAACAAAACAATCATGCTCTATTCCAAAAATCCGTGAAAGGCCTTAACGATCACGTCTTCGCATTTCGTGCTTATCTTGACACTTTTGCAGTTTATGTCCGGTATGCTTGTGAAGACCGCGAGAGTCATTATAGTGAGTCGCGAAAAAGCGGGCCATTTCAAAGAATTATGTCAGCGATAGCGCTTGCTGAAAATGTTGATTGATAA